TCAATGCGGGGTACCCTTTTGGATTTGTGCGCAAGCACTGTGTAAATTGGGCCTCCTCTTGGACCCCGAAGGGGTATTCCACCGCTCCCGATTTTCTTGTTAGTGATGTAAAGTTGTGCGTTGATTGGCTTGAGCAATTCTGCATCAGGCATGGGCTGCTTGCTCTCTGCCTAAAAAGTTGTGGCACGACTGTTAGGGGACGCAATGCAAGGGATATGTCCCTGCTTGCAATAATTTTATGTTTATGTCTATCATTTGCGGTACCATAAGTTGTTTGCGCCTTCTTGTCGAAGGATCTGTAGCACTGAGGTCCGTCTGAAGCCGGTGTACCTTGAACTGAAGACTTGCTTGTCACATCAATTTTTACGTTTGTCGGGCAAGTGCCTTCCTGAGCTTGCTTGGGACGTTCATGTGTTGCGATGGCTTGGCAGCACGGGAGAATTCACTCTCCATTCTGTTTTTCGTTTTGCATCCGTTTGCATTTTTCATGTTTATCCCTAAGCTCCTCGAGGATGTCAGAGTCCAGGCTGAGACTGCATCGTACTGAGAGGGCGATGCAGTGGGGACGTGTTACACGAAATACCTGGTCTGATCCATTGCTGTGATCGATACACTCAACCGATGTATTGACAGATTTAGGCTTCGCCCGAAAGAAAAGCAGCTCTGTAGCCCCACAGATGCACACCACTCCTATGGTCCTATAATATCTCTATATATCTCTTACTCACGAAAGCATGATTGCATGATGCACCTTTCACACCTCCCCCCAAGCCAGCCACCGAGAGCTTTGCCCCGTTTGATGAACCATGATGCACCAACCATCACGGCGGTTGCCCCACCGAGCTTCCCAAAACAACATCCGCCTGGAGGGGTTTGCCTGCAAGGCTCAAAGGCTTCGCTAACTGTGCCACTTGCACAGGACTTGGAGGTTTCAAGCTGTTGAAGCTCTCCTGGCAGAGCCGAAGCCAGCGATCGCAGGCGGTAAAAGCACCGATGGTGGACCATGGAGGGAGAGCATCTCTGGGGGCTGCAAATCCGAACTGCGCAAAAACTGGCAGCCTCAAAAAGAAGAAACATGTTATGTTATAATACTCATGGTTACATGAGTTGGAAGGGTGGTGTTTGGGGGGAAGTGTTTCATACAAGCGGCAGAATGCTGTAGTACGAGGTCTCATCACTGCGAACGCCACTCCAAGACACTGAATGAAGGCTTAGATCGGGTCCAGGCGTGAGACGCAAAACGTGCGGCAGGAACATGCTAAGGGGCCAGGTCTCCACCGGCTTTCTATTGGATTTCTGGCTGCCCGATCTTGCACGTGAATCCTACCTTGAAAATCATTGTGGTTTGCCTCATCCTCATCCCTCCAAAACCTAAAGCTTTTTCACACTCTTCTGGTCAGGAGCTCACCACTTCCACCCATGGTCAGGCTTAGGCTTTTACCCCACCCCACCCCATCCACACCACTTCCGCTCGGCAGAGCTCGGCCTGACAGGACCGTGCCCCGGCGCTTCCGTCCTTGGAGTCCTTGGAACGGAAAAGGCTCCACAAAGTCATCCCACGGGAGCCGCGTCCGCCTGACCGCCGCGCCGCTCCGCGGTCCGGACACGTAAAGGGCGGACACCGGGTTGCAGGACACGTCCGGCGTTGGAGCGATGAAGCGGGGGGAGAAGAGAGGGAGGGAGCTGTAGAACGACCATATAAAAATAACTTGGCCTCCTCTGTGAACTGGAACGAAAGAGTTGTAAAACTGCAAATTTATGACCAACACCTGCACAGCGATCACGGAGCGGTGTTTTCCACTTTTGTTTTGGTCCGACGGGACCTCGGCATCTCCCGAAAAATCTTCCACCTGGCCCCAAAAGGATCCAAACAATGTCTGAAAACATCTTTAATCACCGTTAATTACACTATACTGCCTGAAATCATGCCATCGGCCCCGGTTTGACTCCACCTTTTTCCAATCCTCATACCAAACAGCTGGTGCCATCTGGAGGTCCACGTCACCACAGTAGAAAAATTCAGGGAGTGCACAGGGAGAAATGATGTTCAGAGGCGTCTGGAGCCAATTTTGGTGGCGCCATCAAGGACGAACTCGTTTCTTCTAGCGTTGAACAGCATCGAAGTCATGTCTTCTTGGGAGAGTTTTGAGGGTTCCCAAAGTTGGCTTCTGAGGAAAAACGCACCTCAAGCTGTATTTTGGAGTGATGGCTCACAGCTGGTGTAGGAGTGTCCATTCTCAGGCATCTGCAGCAACTCTCTTGGACTCTGTGCCTGCCTTAGGCGATGCCGCAGCACCTTTTGGGAAGCGATCAGCCACGCGCGAACAACCCCGAAAGAAATGTAAGAAGTCACAAGAGGATAGCAACACGATGTGTTCTTGGTTCTCTTCGATCTCTGAAGTGTAGAGTGTAGATTATGTAGACTTCGATCTGTGAAGAATGTGAACATGCGGAAGATCTGAGAAAGTACACTTGTTACATCTTCTTACTCACTTGTGTTCTTGATTAGACTTAGGCTCTTGCCACTCAAACACACCAAAGGCTCCACCAGTTGAGTGGCAGCTGGATCCAGATGAAAGCCACGAATGGCAGTGCAACGTGCAGTTGCAGTCCGAACGACACGTCAAACGGGTTGCTCGAGGCTCGAGGCTATAGGTCTCCAAAATGGGTCAAAGCTTCTAGAATCGTCTGCAAGAGGCGCTTTGATCTGATTTTTGAGAGTTCGGTATATAGTCTCTTGTTCTCCGGAACATGTGAGGTTACAAAGCTGATTGATTCCTGCACCAAGGTGCAGGGCCAGGGACTGCAGTCGAAGAATTGTTTGCCAGCGCTTGGGCATAAGGAAGGTAGCCCGACGACAGCCGCAACAAGGACAAGAAGAAAAGCCCTGACAAAGACCGGGATCATATGCGATCATGACAAAAACAGCATCAGCAGCAAGGTTCTTTAAATACAACAAGAACACCACACCCCCACGACCAATTTCACGAGTTCACTTACCTCCACCGTCCTCCACCCCTCCACTCGTCGCACCGGTCGATTTCCGTGTCGGAGACCGGTTCTTTCCTCTTCCCACGGCGCCGCGGCTTCTTCGCACCGCTCCGCTCGAGCAGTGCTCCACGGCTCCACGCACATGGTCTGGGTTTTTGCACTGTCAGCGTTCGTTGGACACCACACATCTCGGCCCGGTCATGCTTGGTCATGGCTTTGCCAAAATCAGGGACCCTTCATGTGGTGGAAGACGCCCATGAAGGAGAAGTGGGAGAAGTGGAGTCGGGGCTTTTTCGTTCCAAGGCTCCGCTGTGTTGCTGTGTAAACCTCGAGAGCTGAGAGTCTGAATACCGTCTAGTGCTCTCCGAACCCAGCGGGGGGTCCGAGGTGGGCCATCATGGGCCATCCCATCCCCCAGTGGCTTCCTCTCTTCTTTGAACGCCTCTTCTTTGACAATCTCTTCAGCCGCAAGAAACCCGCACACAAGTCCAACAAGGAAACATCCCGCGGTGGCTTCAAACCTCCCTGGGGCTAGCAATTCATAAATCATGCAGCATCCATCGCGTCGCTGGTTGAGTGCAGTGCCAGGGCTTTGCCATTCTCTTGCTGTATCTCTGCCATTGCCGGCCTCATGCCAGCACGCCGCAGGCACGAATTGAGTGGGCAAACTCCCCCAATTCTGGTCTGCCGTCGGATGTCAAGCCTTCGGCAGCAGGGCTTGGGGAGCCTTCAAAAGACCCACAATCAGGAGTCGGTTTGCAACCAAAGGAGCCTCTGAATTGCTTGGGAACATGAAAAAACATGAAAAAACATGTTAGTTCCCATCCCTGGCGTGAACAGGGGCAACGGGGATCAGTTTCTGGCAGAGTCAGAATGGTCCTTGGGTTGCGCATGGAGAACTTCTAAGCAGTATAAGCTTCTCTCTTGCGTTCCGTCTGCGCTTTCAGTCTGCAAAAACTGCAGTCACTGAGTGTTCAACCGATTGAAGAAACATGGCCTCTGATTCAAGACTCATGCCATGCGATCCAAAGGACAAGTATATTCATGTAAACCAAGCTGAAAGAAATTGACGGAATCTATAAGTGGATCGGTTGCTCTAATGGTTTCAGAGCAAGTTTTCCACTAAAAAGCAGAAAGCAATGTTATACGGGTGTGTGATGTGTTTTTCACGCCTACGAAAAACGCAACTAATCTTCACTCTTGACCTGTGGTAATGGCAACGGTCATGCTAATAGTAATGCTAATGCGAGTGGTAGTGGTAGAGGTAATGCTAAATCAAGCAGCCACAGGTCACAAAGTGAAAGGCATCAAGCTCCCAGGTCAAGGGAGAATGGCATTACCATTAGCATTACCATTGCCATGCGCATATGCCTACGACCATGACCATGATCAAGCTCCCACAGGTCAAGGAATGGCAACAAGCTCCACATGGCAATTCAACAGTCCGAAAACACCTTTGGGCCCTAGCTACAAAACAGTCCGAAAACACACACACAAAGCTACAAAGTCGCGTTATGTAAAGAAATCCTTCTTTGGATAGGTCCGACGTGGTCCGATCTAGTCTCACCGAACAGATTGAAATGCCTTGCAACAGCCAAGTCGGTCCACAGCTTGGATGCGTTTCATGCCTGTTGGAATGAGTACCCTTCATTCATTCAAAGACTAATTGTTTGCAACACCAGCCCTTCAAAACCGATTTCAGCGACTGCGCGAAAGAATCTGATGATCTTCCAAACGAACATCTTCTCAGTGAAACCGATTTCCCGGGACACCGCTCGATGACAACCGGAGCTTCTAGAAATCTACTGACATGAAATCCAGGTCGGGGGACCCACATTTGAGAGAAGACGTCATCTTCATCGAATGAGCAGAAAGAAGCAGAAGAGGCATATCTCAGAAATACTAGGCCAACATAGCGAAACTTCCACCTTCCAAACCGACCAGGGCGATACTCACTTCAACCTTCAAGATCCTTTTGTTGGACTTAGTCTTATAGGTATAGGTGGCCTCTTGCCTATGTTGACTTTCAGATTGAACGCAGGAGAATATCACAAATCAACCCCTGCAACTGCGCGTTGCAAGGCACCCGGGGATGTACCGTTCCGTCTGCTCGCCGGGTTAGGTCCGGATCAGTGTCGAGGTGCCCAGATTCTCCTGAACGTCGCAGCTCTCGAAGAAAAACCCCCCGAATTGCGGGGAAGTCGTGGGTTGATTCGCAGGAAGAGACGTGGCGGGAAGACGCCCGCATCGCGGCGCGTTTTTCGACGTTTTTCGTGCGGTCCTTCGACCAGTCACGGCCAGTCAAAGGACCGGTCACGACTGTCTTCCCTCTGATTTAAGCGACCAATAGCGATAGTAGAAGGCTGATCACACCAACTCCAGTGGTGTTGGGAGTTTTCTGCCGCCAAACCCCCTAAGGGAGGCGTCTAACGAGGCGAGAAGAAGAAGAAGAAGAAAAAGAAAAAGAAGAAGAAAACGTGCTCTGATCCCAGATACGTCACAGGATACGTTCAGCTGCGACATGTTCTTGAAGATTTGTAAGGAACATGGCATACCTGGCATACCCCTTCTTTGTCTCAGCAGCCAAACAAGCTGTTCAATGCTTTTCAGACACTGGCAGATTCCTTTTCGCACGCAACACATTCTTCGCGTGTCACACATGTGCCTGGGACTCCGATGTTACCACTGCTTGGACGCGTCGATGAAGGATGACATCTGGAAGCGTCGAGAGATGGCTGGGGTGAGCTCTGGTGGGATGGGCCGAGATTGGCTGGGATTGGTGGTTGAACATATCTTGCTATGATCATCAAGCTATGATTGCTATGATCAACCACCAACATATGATCATATGATTGATTGGTGGTTTGCTATGATGATCATATGATCTAGTCTGGAATCTAGACCCTCCCAACTGCTTGACCGGTTACAAAAAGGATACAGGCAGGCACCTGTTTCTTGAGGTATCGCTTCCACTAAACCAGGTCAACCTACTGGCGGATCCAGAGGGTCCCCATCTGCTAAAACCTTCACCAGCTTTGGCTTTCACCATCTGACCATCTGCTGTGCTCTGAGCTCCGTGCCATGCCCATCAGCCCGATGTACCAGTCATCCATCTTCTTCACCTCACGCGAGCATCAGCGCGTCAGCCAGAAGACGACTTCCAGGGCCCCGAACACACAGGTGGCATGTGTCAAACCAGGTGGGGACAATCAGGTGGGGACAATCAGGTGGCATCTACCCACCAGGTGGCAGCATACCATGTCCTTTTTCCAGTGCCGAACACACAGAGCATCGCCCCCCTGGGAGCCCCCAAGGACCGAAGGAATGGAACGTGGCACGCGGAATCGAAAGGACAGAACCCGAAGAAGCGAAGCTTCAAGGGATGGTTCTGTCGTTTTTCAAGGGATGCTCCATGCTCCATACAAAATCATACAAATCAGTACCTTTCATCGCCACGCACCTTGAAGACCATTGGGATCGTGTTTTTTGGGGACACTGAGTTTCTGTGCAATGTGTCTTCCTGCACCAAAACAAGGTGAGCCCGCGGACCCAAAAGCAAAAAGAAGCGCACAACCCAAGCATCGGAGATGCTTTTGGGAAAAATAGAGATCCTTTTCTTTAGGGACCGTCCATTACGGGCCCGTCTACTGTGAGCAGCGAAACGCTCGCGCCGTCGCACGCGCCGTCGCAGTGGCTTCCTTCGTCGTGACCAGACGCCGGGAAAAACAGGTCTTCGGGATGGCTTCTCTTCGGCGAAGCGAGCCCTGTTTTTCCCATGTTTGATTCTATGATGACCGTAGCGCTGACTTTCTTTTCACAGTCATGTTCATGACATGTCCTCATGACATCTGCCGCCCTCCAAACATGATGACAGTGAGTCGCTCCCCTAAAATCATCGTTCCATGTGGGATCTTCTCTTTCATTTCTTTTCTCCAAAAAAATCACCGAACTTCTCCATCCTCAGTCTTCTCCATCCGTTCGACACTCCCTCTCACCCCGACCTGCGAGACATGCAGCATCTGAATGAAGGTCAAGACGTACCTCACACGACGGCCCACACACACGACGGTTGTGGACCGCTGGATACCGAAGCGCTCCCCGAATTGCGCGCCCCTTGACACACCGGTATGGTGTTGGGTATGGTGGGGGTGAAAAGTAACAAAGGTTTGGGGATGTGTCATGTACATAGGTCAATAGGTGTGACTCATGGGTGGTGACATACACACATGAATTAAGTACGTATAACGAATTAAAGGCCACAACAGGAAGGAAGTTAAGACTTGACCTAACTGTGCACACACTGTGCAAGACATATGACAGAGCAGCAACAAAATTTGCATTCAAACTAGAGTTCATTCGGTGAATGGCAATCACTGTGCGTATGGATCGGGAATATGGTCATATGTTTTCTTCTTTAGTTTCTGGCCACAGTTTCCATTTCAGCTTGTATGTCTCCTGCCAGTGCATTTCTGGTGTATTTTCAATCTGCATAGAACGGCGGATTTTGAGAAACGTCTATATAATTGGCAGTCAAGCAAGGCTGTAACTGTCTCCTTGGCTTTGGGGCTGATTGGGTGGTAAGGGAGTCCACCGCATATATGGCGTTTGAATCCTAGTTGTTCCAAACTGTTGGCATCTTGCTTTTGGTATTTGGGGATCAATGAGACTTGGGCAAATGCTTCGATGTGACGCAAAATACGTCGCAAGCATTCGACTCGAAACTTGGATAGATCGTTTGATGTCCTGGTAGGACCTGAATTCTTGGGTCCGATGGGCTGAGTGCTTCAAGTCTGTCCGTCTTGTCTGGGGATGTCTGGGGAAATACGTAACAAGTTCTGTCCAGGTCATACCAGGGTCGACGGTCAATTGGTGGCCACGGAAGCTGCTTTAGGTAGTGATGAACCGCACATGATATACGATGTCCCCGAATGCATGCTTTGTAAACAAGTGGGTGTACCTCATCTCAACATCGTGCAATGTGACGGTTGCCATGCAGTAAGACGTTGAGTAAAGGAACCATAAGGTATGGAAGCACCTAGTTCTTCCGGGTTTTTGCAGTTCATCACGCTTGGTGACTGTAGCTTTATTAAGAGCAATCAGATATGCCCAGCTCGTGTTAACCTTGTGTGATTCGGTTTGTCGAGTTGATTCGACGGATGCTACCACTTGGTCAAAATGTGCATGATCTTGTAGTCAGCTTTGTCTGCTAGATGATTACCCTGTATCTCGAGCAAACTCTATCAAATCTTGATAGGTTCTTGCCTCTTGGAGTGTACGATGTGATTGAACTTTATGAAGAATAAATCAGAATAAAGGTATCTGGACGCCAGGCTTTCATGTTGAGCAAATCTGAATGCGCAAGCGTCAACCATCGAACAACATGGCCGACGGACGCCGGATGCCGGACGAGCCGATGAGAGACGCGTCTCTTGGGCGTCTCTTGGGTATTGCGGTGATTCTGGTAGCTGGAATGGGTGGTTCTCGTATTTGGGTGTTGTGTCACATGTGACTGGCCGGACAAACAAACCTTTGGAAGAGAAGTGCATTGGGTCCCTGCAGGGTTGAACCATATTCTTGAGAACTGTTGCCTGGTGTACAGGCAAAAGGGTAGGTCATGTGACTAGCCTGAGGACGTTCCCGAACTCAAAAGCTAGGTAGCCTGCTCACATCTCACCAGCATATACCAGCTTCCCTGAGTGTCACCAGCCATCTCACCATCTCATCAGCCAACGTCGTGCACACGTCGGCGAAAACACTTCCAGACCGTTCGCTCCGTAACCGGACCGCGGAAAACCACCACCCCCCCGCCTGAGCATCATCTTCAAGTTGTCATACACCGCGGCGTCTGCCTTCTTCATCGCCTCGCGTCGGACGCTTCCGACGGGCAAGACACGACACGTCCGTCCTCGCCGGACCGGACGCCGGACCGGAGAAGACCGGAGCGGACGACTACGGAGCGTTTTTCCATGGAGGAAGCACCCTGGTCCACAGTTGGTCACCTGGTCACATTGGAGATTTCTGCCAGTGAAATCCAGTGTTTTCGCCCCCAGGAGCGAAGCTTTTTCATCTTCTGTCGGATCAAGTCCGCTTCATCCTCAGTTAGCCAGAATTGGCCAATTGTGCATTCATCTGCACGAGCCAGGGATGGCGACAACAACAGCGCCTTTCTCTTTGGCATAGGTCTGTGGGGATGGCCCCCGCCCCCAGCACTGCTCTGTTGACACGCAAACTGCTGAAGATACCTATCAAAAATATGTGTTCTGTCCATTTCTGTCTCATGTCGACTCCCTGCAAGGAGGTTTGCCCTGAGCAGAAATTGCAGCCGAAACAGGCAAACGACTGGGCTGAGCTCAGGCTTTCAGGTGCTGCTTTTCGAAGTCTTCCAACAAAAACGCAAAAATGCTTAACAACCACTTCGCCACTGTTTATGAGCCCTGGCAAGAAGCTTCCCCTCCTCTTGATCCTTTTTCCTGAACGACGGCTCCGAGTACTGGCGATGCGCATCGCCCGCCACGCCCAATTTGGCGCCTCGTTGTCCGTCTTCGGATCCTCTGCCGTCCGACGGATGAAGCACATCAAATCAAGAAGATCCACCATATAGCGACACTCATAGCGATGGCCTCCTACCTAATAGGAATGGCCTCCAACCTGATATCGATGGCCTCTAACGAAATAGGAATGGCCTCCAACCTGATGCCGTAGAAAAACCACGGCAAAGGTAAGCCTCTTCCACACTGCAACATGGGTGGATCGTGTTTTGTGAAGCAATTGGCAAACCACATGATTCTTGGACCGCGTGTCGGCGTCAAGTTGTTCGGAAAAATGGAACATTCGGCCAGTCCTGCTGCTTCTGGCGGATGCGGGAGATCTGCACAAGGTGTCCAAGGACAGCAACACTCTCTAGTTGCTGGGATGGGTCAACCACTCACTGTCACTACCCTCCAGTTGAACACAGATTGAAAGAAACTAGTAACTAGTCAGTGCTGATGTTCTTCATGTCTCCTTTCTTCAAACTAGCCCAAGGGCAGGGCAGGGCAGGGGCACAAGGAACCTTGGGATTCCCAGGTCCGGCTGGTCATGAGGCCGTGAAGAAACGGACCGGGGGGGATCTCATCGGTGAAAACGCTGCGAACGATCCATTAAACGACCCGGTCAGACGCTTTGGGGGAATGGTTGAGACATATGTGCTATTCTTGTATTCTTGTCACCCTACATCAGTCCTTTCTGTTTCAGCTTGCGCTCGGTCTTGAACCCTCCGCGACGTCCGTGGAGGAGTCAGGTGTCACCATGGTCACCATTTTTCGGAAGGAACAACGAACCGTTCGTGTCACGGAACGTTTTCTTAATCTTTCTGGGGATTTTCTAATTTCTAGAGTTCCACGATTTCGAGCAGGAAAAATGCAACATGCTGCGACTACCTGCTGAAGAAGATTGGACCTATGTACTGACCAAAATAACAAAACACATAAAAACAAAAACACATCTTTGACTCCAGTTCCCTGCTCTCCGCCTCTCAGGTCTGGTGAATCTGGAGAAAGACCACCCACTACTTTGTCAGCTTTGGGGGAATTGTTGAGACATGTTGACATGTGCTGTTCTTGTCACACTACGTCGGTCCTTTCTATTCAAGACGCTTCGTGTCGACAGCCGCCACCACCGCGCGCGAACATCCGAAGTTAGTGAAATGGAGCTTCACGGGGTGATGCTGTAATAAAGGAGGTTTGTGATTCCTAAGTCAGAAGTGAAGGAGGGTCAGATGCGAAAAGAAAGAGGGAGCAGAACCAGGATTTTAAGTGAGCTTCTGCGAACTATTTTGGCTCCAAGTGAAGGACAAGTGCAGCTATCTCGGCGCCAGGTTGGCTGTCCCACGGCTGCGTTGGAGCCATCTTGGGGCCAACTTCGTCAGCTTGGGTGAGACAACGTCGGCATTGAAGCTATCTGTCAGATTCTGTTCGGCCCTCCCCCACCAGCACCAGGACTTTAAGTGAGCTTCTGCGAACTATTTTGGCTCCAAATGGGGGACAAGTGCAGCCATCTAGGCGCCAGGTTGGCTGTCTTACGGCTGCGTTGGAGCCATCTTGGGGCCAACTTCGTCTACCTTGGGGCCCATAATGGTGATACAACTTCGGCATTGCCAAAAGCCATCCAAAAATACACCTCCAAAACGCTGTCCCCAGTGGCCCTGCAGCCGAGCAAGAATCAACGCAGCAACCACCCCAAGACACAAAAACTCCTCCAAAACGCTCTCCCCAGTGGCCCTGCAGCTCAACCATAGCCACGCACGCGCAAAGAAAAGGCCCCCCCTAGCAGAGCTGTATGCATAGGATGTTTTTGCTAAAATGCAGAGCTCGACGGCAATGGCACGCCCTGCACCGACAAGCGGTGTGGGCGGATTTCAGCTTGCAAGCCGGTCTAGTGTCCTCCGCGACGTCCGTGACGTCCGCAGTAAAGAGAACGTGACGTCCGTGGAGGAGTCAGGTGTCAGCATGTCACCTTTTTCGGAATGAACAACGAACCGTTCGTGTCACGGAATATTTAACTGCGCCATCCTCATCTAGGGATTCTTAATTTATAAGTTTTGTAGGGTTCAGCGATTTCGAGCAGGAAAGCCGTAACATGCTGTAACTACCCGCTGAAGAAGATTGGACCCATGTACTGACAAAGAAAACAACAAAACACATAAAGACAAATACACATCATTTGACTCCATGGTCCATAACCCATAAATACTCTCCAGACTCTCAGGTCTGTTAAATCTGGAGAAAGACAACCAACTACTCTAATGATCATTGCACCTCACATGTCTACCGCCTCCCGCACGCAGAGCGAGAAGTTCAGGACATGGGAGAAGGTAATGAACCTGCACATGTCCATGGTCCATGCATCGCAATCTGAAAAAGACATGTTGATGTCTTCAACAGGTAAGTTCAGGGCAGCTGGACTGGAATGTGCGAACCAGGATACTTCATCTTTCCGTATACGAATATCTCTACCAACGAGTTGTGACGCGCTTCAGTGTTCCTTCGCAAAGACCAGGGCATGTAAGTACATATATGATCAAATAGGACATATTGTGTATCACATGACTAACACTTCAAGCCTCCAGACCACATCTTCTAAGTCGACTTCACTTCTGTACACCTTCAAGCTATTTCCCCACGTCGTACTCTTAACCTTCCCGTCCAGCTTTCAGGACCTCGTCCCGCAACCATCGCGCACACATCGCGCACCGGCGGGGCGCCGTTCGGCCAAGCGAGGCGAGCGACTCGACTCGACTCCGAACGGGCAGGAGATGGAGGGGTGGAGCGTCTCCCCAGATGCGACCGACCCGAACCTACGGAGGGGAGCTGGACCCGACTCCTCTGGAGGGGTCCGAGGGACCAACCACTTGGGTTTTTCGGAGCGTCGTCGGTCGGTTGGAGCCATCGATGTGGAGCCGAAACCACGCCTGAGATTTCGGCGATGCCACTCGATGGGCGTGTAGTTCTGGAATCTGGCAGCTTGGCGGCTTGGCTGGCCGCTTGGCTGGGGGGTCCAACTGTTTAGAGGGAGCCTTGGAAGGAGATCTCTGAGATATGTGTTCTTTTTGATGAAGAGATCCCTGGGAGAACATGGGAGAACCTGGTAGGTCGGGAAACCTTCAGAACCATGAACCACCTGAGGTGGATGTGGCCGCTGACCGTTTGGTTGTCGTTTGCTAACTTCCCAATCCGCTGGAGCACCTGAAAGTCAACGAAAAGGTGATGAGCTGAATCTGACGTTTGGATGGAAACTGCGCTGCCGAGAAAAGACTGGCTGCCCCATCTGAATCCTCACTGAATCCTATCAGAACTGAATCCCGACTCCCAATCCACTACTATCAGATGCTCCAAAATGACCACCAGAGGCACATCGGCATGGGGCACAAGAGCTCTGGAACCACACACCGCCGTGGACCCAAACCTGGTGGTCATCCGACTGGTCATCCGCTACCTGGGACCTATTAGATGCCAGGTTTAAGTCATAATGCAATCAATTTCTGCGACCATGCTGCATTCATCTCAACTCAACCGCATCCCAATGCACGACTGACTATACATACATTCCTCTCTTGTAACCCAAACGGAGGTGACCCCCCTAGTAAGAAACAAGGTGGCTCGGTCGACGAACCTCCACTCTCCACTCTCTGGCCCAGCAACGACCGGATCCACCCACCAAGGGACTCGCACGCCGGTCCCTACACGTTGGTCGTTACATGTTGCAACCACTGCTCACTGCTCACCTCGCACCACATGTTCGTAGGTCGGTGTTCGTGTTCGCAAGCCATGCCAGGAAGCACTTGAGAATGCCGACCTTCAAGAGCCAGTAGATGTGATCCTCTCAGGCCGTCTGAGCGGGTGCCGAGTCCGACTCTCGCGTCCGGCCCAGGCCAGGCGGAGGCCAGACTTTCAAAAGGGCCAGGCCAGGCCGCGTTTCAGGGGCGAGGTCCGGCCTGGTACTGGTGCTTGTGACTCACGCCAGTGAAGCCGTTCATGAGTGCTTCGTCACGGGTCACGGCACTCACCGAGGACCAGTCGACGTCGTCGACCCGTCGTCGACCCGTCGGAAGAACTCCGGAAAGCACCGAGAAACGGAGTCCCGGACGCGACTCGACTGGACTGCCATAGGACTGCCCGATCAGTTGGGGGTTTTCAGGGGGGTCAATCTATAGGCCTATAGATTCCATCATGATCATCATGTAGACTCTTGAGGACCATAAATCCCCCCAGATGAACAGGATGTCCAATTCAAAAGGGTCGGTGATAATGGACATCAAGAGTCTACAGTCTACATGAAGTGCATGGGAGTGGGCGGTCTACCGCCCGGGTCACGGGTCCTTGACCGTCTGTCCGACGTAACCGTAGCGGTGTCAAACGGTGGTGGCCCCGCGGCGTACGGTTTTCAGCCGTCGACCGTCCCCGTGGAGTTCGGTGGTCCGGAAGTCTTCATCAAAGGACGCATCGTTCATGTCTTCCACAGACGAGTCTGTGCGTAGACTCGTGTTGTGCGATCACAGCTTAGTCGTAGGGAATGAGGGAACGTTTCACCACCCCTAATACTATAGGCCCCTCTGGATCCAGCTACCCATATTCCCTACGAGACGCACCAGTCAGTCCAAGATGCTGAAGAGACCAATCATTGGCAGTTGGATGTTTTGGGATCTGTGTTTGGGAGGTAAAAGTGCAAACATCCTCATCCGACCTGCATACCGGTTGTTTCCCTGTCTATAACCATTACCAGTAACATAATGAATCATGTTTTAGTAAAGGCCTGTTCTCAAAAAAGTGGTGATCATTGTTTACCGACTGTTGGTGATAATGATGGTGGGGACAGACCCAATATTTCATTATATGTTCCCCTCTTTTCCACCGAGCGGAATAGCAACGGTGCCTGAATCAGAAAGGTGATCAGCACGGCTCGCTGTGTGGCCTGAGGGCCACGGTGCGGCTTGCGGTCTGGCCGCAGACCGCGCACGTGCGAGATGGTTTTGGAAATGGGAACAAAGAAAATCATCCAATCAATAGCAGCGATGCGAGACGTCAGCCCATTCTTTGGCAGTGCAGAATCATTTCCATCAATGATTTCCATCCATCATCTGATCTAACTAGCGGTCATGGGGGTCATGGGAATACCGACCGGTTGGACCTACCTGGTGGATCGGTCAAGCGACCTTGGTGGGTCACGACCCATCTCCCGAGAGCTCCCTCTCTCAAGGTGACGCGAGCGTGAGCTCGCTCGCCGCTTGGCGCGCTTTTTTGGCGCCTGGTCCAAGCATCATGTAGACTCTCGATTATAATAAAGCACCCAATTGAAATGGAACATCCTCTTCGTATGGGGGGTTTATGGTCCTCAGAGTCTACATTATTCTCTCAAAACCTTCCCAAAAAGCCTAAACATCCCCACACAATCCTCCTTCCATCCCATACAACCGACTGGACACCCTCAATCATCAACCTATCTCCACACCCCTGCCAGGCCCGGCCTCCAAGATGTCGCCCGACTGAATGGCCTGACCTAAGACCGGGATGTGTGGCAGCTCCTACGCGGAGCCGTGATGCCGTCATCAAACATAAAACGATTCAACATGGGTGTGCCACTGTGCACATGAAAATGGGCTGGCTGGCTATTGGAACCAGCCTTTTTGAAGGGTCACGGGTCAGAGCTCTTCGGGAAGAGCGATTTGGATCGTATTTCCATCTTCTTTGTGCAGGGTCATTTTACCATATGCCCCCAGCTACCCTGCAGAAGGACCCGATCGGGGTGCCACTCAGGACCCAATCGCCGTATCGTATCGCCGGAAGAGCGACTTCAATATCTCTCTGTATGAAGAGGGACTGAGTGGCAGGAGGAACTGGGCAAGCTCCCTTTTTTCAGGGCTGCCAGCACCGAACCAAGGGGCAAACTATGAAACAACTATAGCATAAGAACAAAGAACTATACGATTGTTACTAAAGTGCTCAAAGGTGCTCGGAAAGGTGGAACCAAAAAAAAAAGAGTCTCTGAACCCGCTCACTCGCGATGTGTGCAGCTTTCTCATGCTGGGGTGGGTCCAAACACTGAATTCCTGAGGTGCCAAAGAGTCTTAGACTCAAAAGTTCAAGGATTTCCCCGAGCTAGACACATCGCCCCCTTTTGGAAGGTATATTATGAAGGTATACACATGTATACACTGACCCGAGCTAGGAACCCTGTAGGCTTCATCTATCGATCACACTGCCCACACGCCCGGACACCTCCTCTCATCCTCCAGCGCACTCAGCGCACTCCTTGCCCCATCTGTGTGTTCGCCTTGCCCACGCAAGGGTCGTCTGCACCTGAAAAGGTCGACCCACGCTGCCGCTCGACGACGTGCAGTCGGTGAAGCTGGACATCCCATCATGGCCCTAGCAGACAAAGAGTCCCTAGGGCTCCAACCACCTCCGTTTCGAAGGTGGTTGGGGTGGGTCTGGGGGGTCTAACTACATTCTGAAGAGGTGGTTGGAGCCCTAGGGAGTAGAAGAAGAGTCGTGTCTTGTTCGGTGTCCTCCTCGATGGACCTTCTCCACGTAACACTGGACCTTCTCAGGGCGCATAGCAGGGCGCAGGGCGCAGTGTCCTCTGCTAACTTCCCCCCTTTCGGTGTGTTTGGGAGAGAACCGAACGCCGAACGCGGTCGGCCCCCAGGGCCCCAGGGCGCTCCCGAGCTCCCGAGCTCCCCCTCCCTCCGAGCCCCTTCGTTCGTCGGACCTGTGAGGGGCCCCCAACCAAAACGGACCTCCGTTGGAGTGGTACTGCTGGAGTGAGCCGTTCTTGGACAACCCAAAAGAAAGACAAGGACCCCAAAACATCAAAACACCTGTTTATGCTTTCTTTGACCCAAAAAAGGCTCTTGTTATTTGCTAGACCGAGGAACCCTTTCGGCGCAATGCCCTATCAGCAGCTGCACCCTCCACCCCCAACACCGAAACGCCCCGCCTCGGCGATGACCGGCTTCCAGCCCTGCAGCCAGAACTCGGGTGCCATGTGCCCCAGAAAGCCTCCGGTGGTTGACCGAACGAGCGAGGCGAGGCGAGGCGTTGTCTGAACAGCATGGAGCCACGAACAGGCGTATGGGGTGAAGTGAGCTTTTGGATTGAAGTTGATATGATATGATTCACCACAGCCATGCAAAGTGTGTTTATATATGTCTTGAATCCATTCAGAAAAAATAACATCGTCCACTTACATGTGATGGTGTGGACCAAGTGCTCCGAGTCCAAGAATCCATCGTGGGCATCATCCATCGTTGGTCCGTCCGGTTCACCAGGTGACCGGATGGGTCTCATGAAGGCCCTCATCACAAGCAGGGACATCCACGAAGTGTGGAGCCGTCCATCCCTTCCCTGCCTTGCAGGAATCGACAAAAATATTGAACGATCCTTCCTGTCTTGTCACGGGCTTCTGCCTGCAGGCTTCCAGTGGTGCAGAGTGAGCAAGATTATGGTGTGGTGGGGGTTGACGCCAGGTGGCTCAAACAACAACGCGCCGATCGGGTGGTTCGGCGCGAAAACAGCTTGGAATTCGCGGATCAGGGCTATTTTCCGTCGATGCACGCAGTATTTGGACAAGGTGGACAAATATCGATTGGTTCATCTTTGCGTTGAAGACATGAAGCACCAACTCCAAAGGAAAAAACAGCGAAGCAATACGTCCCTCGCACGTCATATATCAAGTCATCGACAACAACAACAACAACAACAACAACAACAACAACAACACAAACAGCAACAGCAACAGCAACAGCAACAGCAACAGCAACAACACCAACAGCACCAGCACCAGCAGCAGCAGCAGCAGCAACAAAACGAAACCATCCCCCCCGGCCCCACTCCACCCCTTCTAAATCACACGACTTGTCGATGACAACTCTATGATTCTGATGACAAGTTCTATGAAACCGATGACAGCCTAACCACCCACACTCCCCGCCCCTGATCAGATGGTTTGCGCACAGTCACAAAACCCTACATGCACCAGTAAAAACCCGCTTCCAAAACCCGATTTCCATGGGGATCTAACATCTGTACGGCGCCCCGACCCATCCGATCGGACCCAACAAATTGTCAGCCGAACAAACACCAGAATCCTGAGCGATCGGAACTGGGAACCCTGGTTCCCAGAAGTTAGCAACTTGGCAACTTTTCCGTCTTTGGGGCGAAGCTTGGAGCGCAGGCCAGCATCAGATCTCAGGACTACACGTGAGGTGGTCACTCCCTGTGTCTCGGTGTCGCCATCGCGCCGTTGGATTTGCGGATCCACACTGGACGCATGAGGAGGAGGCCTCTGTGCAGGTCTTGAACTATAGGCCATGCCTGTGGGTGTAGGCCTGTAGCCCATTGCATGAAGGGTGAACAGGAGGCACAAAGCCCCAGTGACGATGACACCTCCGTCAGTGGTCTGAATCTTCCTGCGATGCAAACATATAGCCCCCATGCGATTAGATTGGAGGCATGGACCAAAAGCCATCGATCCACAATTTCTGTGCAGGGTCAATCAGCGAGCGAACGAGTTGCGGTCACCGAGTCGATCATCCCTCCTTCGAAAGACACAGCAAGATGGACTCGGAGTGACGTCGGCCTCGACCTCCAGGTCGTTGTTGTTAATCGAAGTGTTCTTGTCGAAGCAGAACAAACGGCTGAGCGTAAGGTATGACGGAGATCCCTGAATTATGTGCCGTGAGTCACGAGATACTGTGAGGTTTCGTGCGTCAACTCACTTTGCGGAATTAATGGGAGGACACTGAGGACATTATATACAGATTAATTTTAGGTCCATAGGTGAATTGAGCCCGCTATATAAATGAAATACACAAGATAAATATCAACCTATTCAAGGTGAACATTGCAATTGCCTCAAAACATGATGCCGCCACACTGCTTGCATGTGGGCCACAGTGGCAGGTCCTGTGGCGTCAGTGGCAGGTCCTGTGCCGTTCCGGCCATGAAGATACACCATGTTAGCAAAGAACGCTTCAGATTGCACATTTTCCAGGTCGGTCTGCTTGGTACAATGTGAGGGTGGCCACAACCGGCCACAACCCACACATAGAAACTGGTGGAGAATCCGATGCATGTTCATGCATGTTCTGCTTCTTTTCTTGTCAGAGAGTTGACATGTCACTGGGCAATCATGTCAAAGTCCTAAACCATCCTGAACCAAATCCTTTTGGGGCCCTTAAGGTCCCAGAACTTCGTAGCATCCAGGTACAGCAGACCCAGATCTTGTGCGATTGCTCGAGCACTGTGCCCACAGAGCTGTGATTCGGACTAGTGCCATGAGGGGAGCTCTGTGCCAGAAGGTCTTTCCACAAACCACACGACCGGAGTGACCGGAGGCGGCGAAGGCGCCGCCTTCACCGGAGCAACCCTATCACCCTTCCAGCTGCGGACCAGCGCTTCGTCATGTGTCACGCCACGCGCTTCGTCTTGAGTCCCCGCCCAGGCGTGGAAAAGCCGTGCGTTTCGGATGGGACGATGCGAGCACCTCGGGCGAGGCTCTACAGTAAGACTTAGAGTGATCTACTTACTGCGAGTGGTGCTTTTTGGACCGTGGAGTCGTTTTCATGCGTGCAGAACGCAGAAAGTGCAAACCACCTGCGAAAGAAGTGCGGAGGGTTTCATCACTCGAGGCAAACGATGAAGGCTCAGCAGCGAGCCGCGAGCCGCGAGCTCTTGGCTCGAAGGCTGTTCGTGCGTATTTCGAGTTAAAGTGGATGATCCGCGTTGCAGAACGAAACGAGGGAATTGGGTGGAAAGCCAAACAACTCATGGCAGATGTTGGAGACATATCATGCTTCAACTGAATCTCAGAATGCCGCACAGTCCCCACGTGAGCTCGTTTGCACACAGTGCCCCCATACCAAACCGTTTTCACCAATTCTAAGAAATCAGAACACGAGCTTTCCACATGGTGAGCCTGGCTTTGGCCAATTTGGCCCACCTCCCTCCATGCCCCATGAACTTCCGAAACCCGCACCGCCACGGGAGAACGTTGTGCAGACCCCGCACATCTGGCGCCTTTGAGATGAACTTCCAAATGTGCTGATACAGCTCCTCAGCGGTTCGAACCCACCAAGCTCCCCCGGCGCGGGAGCAATTCTCTTCTCTTCGGTCTCGTCGTTTCCCGGGGTCAGACCGATGTGCTTGTGATCGAGTTGTTCCCGGGTTCAACTGCCGTCCTTGGAATCCGAGGTGTGAAGAAAAACAGAACTCGCTGACCTGAAAGGGGAATCAAAAAGGGAAAGCACAAAGGTCCATCGTCAGAACAAGAACTCCTGCAAAAAGTCTCTCACTCTCAACAGGGATGGTAAATGATGGTAATCCCTTCCACCAAGTTTCCAAAAAACACGGGCCCCGACATGAGTGAACAATTCTTGGGCACTTTTCTTCTGTGGTGTTTCTGAAAAAGGAAGATCCTCGGCATGGTTTCGAATCCAGGTCTGGACCTCTTCGGACCCCCCAAAAAACCCCGCATCCCTGGACCTCTCCGGACCGATCGTGAGTCAGTAGTGGATCACGAACGAGTGGATCATCGGTACCGAGCCTAAGCGGATCAACGAACCAGACGCACGTGGTCTACGGTATACACCAAATCCATCCCCACTACATATTGCATTGGTGTTGGACGGGCATGACCGACATGACTGGAGCCCCTGAAAGCTTCGGAAGAGAGACCAGTCTACCCACTGGGGCGTGAAAAAGGGAGGTCTCCCTGTCCAAAGATGCCAAATCAACCACCGCAGCTAAATGCTCTTGTGACCAGTGGCGCTCTTGTGGCTGTTGGTGAGTTGCTTCTTGAGCATCTGCAGGCCCAAGACCTGCGCGGATGCCACTCCGTTTGTTCAGTCTCTGCATCACACGATCTTCGTTCTTCCGAAGACGGTCGTTGTGGGGTTGAGTTTTTGGGTCCAGTGTCCCCAGTCCGTGCCACAAAGCCAAATCCAACCACAGGTGCTTTCTTTCGGATGAAGGAAATCAATTCAGTCATCAGCTCAATTTGGGGCCGCCTGCTGTTCACCACGGAGTGTGTGAACGTCACCTGCTCATTATGTGATTATATCATCTCCAGGAGTGAAACCACCTAATGTAATGTAGACTTCTCTACTTACAACATCTTACAACCATGCCATCAATGCAAATCGCCATGCTTCAGCACCTATGACCAATGGCTGATCTTCACAGGTGGCCATTCACACCTTCAGTACCAATCTTTTGGGCCTTTCTCCTATCCATCCGATCCGATTCAGGACATTTGAGACGCGACCTACTCCTCGACCTGCGACCTACCCGAAGTGCTTTCGGGTGGTGAGTGGTCCTGGCTCCCCATTGAGGCCTTCAACTGGCTTCAAAACCGACCACGCTCCAGATCTTCGCCAGCCTAAACCAGAACCGCACCCCCCAGCCCAGCGCCCATCTGAGGTCTGGGACGAAGCACATCAGCGAGGGCCCCACCAGAATTTGCACCGCGTGGGGCAGACTTTGCAAAGGCGGCAAATAGGCCTCACCAGTTTGACGGTTTTGAAGGCCTTGACCAACGGAAGGATCGGACCGGACTGGACTGGGTGAGACGAGACGATCCGAGTCGGTGCATGGTGCATGGTGTCAGCCTCTCCTTCGGAGGGAACAAAAGCGTCTGACACGTAGCGCAGCCCTCGGTCACTTCGCCATGCGAAGGCCTCTTTGTGCCCCATCAGAAGGGGCGTTGACAGCAAGGCCTGCCGTGCATGCAGGAAGGCGGTCGGGCGTCAACACGCCGGTGCCACACTGGCACCCAAAACAGATCAACGGGAAGGGAGGGCGAGGGAGATCAAAGTAGCTTGAAACCAATTGATGTGTCACTTGGTGTTCTATATAGCTGGGTGGGAAGCAGGATGAGAAGAACATCATGAGAAACACCAGGGGGGAACCTATGGTTCCGATCTCTTTTTGGGGTTCTCTATCTTGAGTGAGACCCATCCCACCCCAAGAGTATCCAAAAGTAATACATATATATATATATTTATTTATTGCACAACTATAGGTCTCGAATGGTCTCAGCAGAACTTAGAACCTGGAGATGCTCCACCACACAAAGACGAGGTGGCCGACATTGAAAGCTGCATTTGAGAAACTCTGGGATCCTTGCGTCGAGATAGGCCGGCAGTCGAGACAGGCGGTGGTTTTGGTGGCTAAGAAGTAACCCATGTCTCAACCCCCACAAAAGTCACCCAAACAAGTCGAGCAACACCTATGGTCCTATGGTGAAGGAAAACAGTCTTCCGACAAAGAAAACAACGTGATCACGTGTTATCATCGGGAATGCTTACAGTAGTCCTTTCTTCTTGGTCACTGCTTGGCAAGAGCAGCCAAGAATCTGCCTCGAAAAGCCCAGTCAGCTGTGGAAGCCCTCCAACCCTATTGCTGTCTTGTGAGCACCATGTTCGGTCGGTCAGACGTCGTCCCCGCAGACTCCAACCGAGTGAACCGACCCGGAGCTTCGGCGCCCATCGGCCATCCATATGGGGTCCGGAAGCCGATCGGCCATCCATACAAACCTTCTGCCCCCCAGGCGACATGGCTGTGGCATGGCACCTCGACACCCTGCTTGGGGTTTTACCCCACCGGGGAATGAACCGAATAGACTATACCAGACATGGTCAGCCTATATCCTGGTGAAAGAAGGGCCCTGGATGCCATGACCCATGGCCGCCCGTGTGGACATTGATGGTGGCACTATAGTGAAATGGTGTTTATTCTCTGTAAGCATCAGCCTCACATAGGAGAGGTGTTTTTCCTCGAAATCAAAGAGATGCGGCTGGCACCACGTGCCTTGCTCATCGCCATGGCGCAACCCTGGAGGCCTCACACAGGAATTTCCCGAAAGCGAGACTGCCCTTTGAGGCATGCGGTCCCAGGGACAGAGCGACAGCCCAAAAGAGTTGGGCATGCGGCATGTACCACAGTGGCATAGCGGTAAGAAGAGACAAAACGATGAGATCTGTGGTCTACCGCAACACGTGCACCCTGTTCGCCTCCTTTGGGGGCTTAAACAGGACATCAGCGCATCAAAAGGTGAAAGGTATCACTGTATCACTGGGTAGGCCAATGCCTGGTCCCGTCATACCTAGGAGATCGTAGGAGTGTGAGCATGGCGGCCCCGTCGGACCCTCCGTTTGTCGCCTCACGTCACAGTCGCGTCGTTCGGTTTGGAGCTCGTCGGGGGAAAGCGGGCGTCCGGATGTTCCAACGCTGGAAAACTTGAGCAGAACGGCCAAAACAGCAAACTTACATCTGCTGAAGGTGGAGTCGCTTTTGAGAACCCACTTTTCCCCCATGAGTTCTCCCAGAGGTTTTTCTCCACTGGAACGAGTGGTCAAGTGGTGAAGTCCTTGTCATCTGCTCTGATTCGTTGCCAAATACCTTTACGAGACTTACGAGCAGATTGTTTGACGAGGGCGCATTTTGCACTTATAACACTGGTTTCAGGTTTCTGATGGTTTCTGCAGCAAATGATGGACACATGACTCATGACCAGGCTGCGAGCATGTACTTCGCCAATTGCTCAACAACTCTTGGTTGTTTTGCGAACTTATAGGCCGATCATGCCTTTGATCCTGGTGATCCATCCTCAACTGCAACATGTGTATCCTACTATTATAGCCTTCTTGTTACTAGTAGCTTCTTGCTACTAGTAGCGATGCCAGGAGCCCCGTTCGTAGCGTCCTTGCTCCTAGTAGTAAGGCCAGGAGACCCGTTCGTAGCTTCTTGTTCCTATCTAGTCCATTCTAGTCCTATTTTCTCACAGTGCGCTCTGACCGTTCGCGCGAGTCCGACCGCTCTGCACTTCCTTTTCGACCGACCAAGGAGCCTTCCGAGCCTCACGAGCCCGCTGCGGAGCTCGCGGCGGTGTTCGGGAACGGGCGGTTCTCCGGCGATTCGCTCTGCGCGTTTGGGGGCCATGGCACCAAACCATCGACGTCAATCGACCGAGGACGGCGGTAGCGGTTTGACCGCACCGGACGAAGCATCGACCGCAGCCTTCGCATCGACCGTCACTCGCTGCGCGGCACTCACTGCGCGCCGCTTCTGCTCTTCCTGAGGCGACCGCCGAGCAAAGCAGGCAGGTGAACTACCAGGTGAACTGTTGCCTTTTGGTTGGGCCGTTTGGGCCAGAGACGCGCCCCAACCCTCCCAGGAATTCGAGGTTGAAGCTGATTCTGGTGCTTAGACTTCGAGGTTCCCCGGATTCGGGAGCGGAAAAACGGGCGGTGCGGCGGTGGTTTGGCCGGACAAACATCGATCCCCATCGGCTTTCGTCCAAGCGTCCGCCACGTATGCGGCACGCTGCGCGTTCCACGTCGCCAAAGCGTCCGCGTCCTGAGACCGAAGACGAGGAAAGGACGGGGAGGACACCGATGTCTCCAGACCTTCCAATATGGTGGTGAAGTGACAAAAACCCATGGAACTCAATAGCTTCCAACCACCACTGTGCCTTTTTGGTGGTTTATTCATATTTGGGGGGAGGGCTCTTTTTCTCACTTGTGAGTCCACCAACACTTCGTCTTTAAAAAAACGCCGACAATAGAAATAACAACACCTCCCAGAGTTTTTGCTGTATACAGGAAGTCCGTCCAGAAGTCTTCTATTTTTGGATTCGGTTCTTTTGGTCACTCCAGGCGACTCCCTGCCGACTCCCGCGGCGCGAGCCGAGCCGCAGAGGTTCTGGCGAAATCCTCAAACCAATGAACACTGAAGCCCAAGGAATCATCTATTAAGAGCACAAAAAGAAAACCATCAGAACCGAAGGGGCATTCAATTCGCCTGCCTGCGCGCTTTCGGGGGATCTCCGTGTGCGGAAAAGGGATGCTTCTCTTTTTCTCTTAGACCTGACTGAACCCACCGTGCCCCAGACCTTTCACCTCGATGCGGTCGAGACCGGTCTTCCGGCCGGTGCCCTCTTGACCTTCATGCGAGTCCATGTGCGCTTTCGTTGGTCTAAGTGGTCGGTGTCCCAAAGGGGTACAGGGGTACACAGTATGTTAATCGCACTGGCTGTACGTTCAACGTCCCCTACTTTGAACAGTATACTCAGGAGACTTGGGATCTCTTCTCCCCTGAAGTCGCCCCTTGGGTCTCCTTCTCATTCTCTTCGGTCTCCATCCGAAACAGCTCCGACTCCGTGGTGATCATCGCATGCAGGGCTTTGATTTCATCCGCACTCCTCCGAGCACCGGTAGCAGTCCACCGTCCCACCCCAAGAACACGGAACACGTCAGGCAAAATGGCAAATGACTACGTCATGCAGCATGAAGATTGATCCCAGGCATGCATTTCTCACGCAAAGAGTCGAAGAGTCAAGGACTCCCAGGACATTCCACGACCTCCCACGATGTAAAGTCTCACTGGACTTTCCCACGAACGACGAAACCCGAGAGTTTTGTGAGGTCGACTGGGACCAGGATTCTGCCAGGGCGACTGGACCAGGATTCTGCCAGGGTGATCTTAGGGTGTCGATGGTCGACTTGCTTCAAAACATCTGCAGATCTTTCCGAAGGACAAAAGACCCCCCACAACCCCAAGTGAAGAGTCAAAAACCCCAGTTGGCTGATCAGATGAAAGCGGAATTCCAACTCCCTCTGTAGGTTTCGTAGGTCAAAACGACTCAAACCCAAAAACATTTGTTGCGTAGAAGTGTGTTGCCGCTGCAGACCTAAGTGTCCTCTTCGTGATCTTTCTTTGGTGTAGTTTATCTATGTTTATCTTGATACAAAGATCAACCACTCCATGCATCTTGATCTTAAACAAGAAAAAACGATTTTGCCGAGTGTCAAGTAGTGAAAGGTGAGCGGCGCAGGGTACGTGGACATCAATGCTTCCTGCAGCCTCGGGGCCAAGGGGGAAAGCATTCACTCTCGGAGTCATTAACATGGAAGTGGATGGTGCCACCTGCTTGGTCAGGTTTGAAAATGGTCACTCTAGCTCGGGGCCATGGTTATCTACATAACCATCATGATACCAAATAGTTCAGCAAAAGGGAAAAAAGGAAGCTAATGCCAAAGGGACGTAAGGGGTCCGAGTTCTGACTCCATTCTCTAAGCTTGGAGAGACTGATGAGGTGCTTGCGGCTTTGACACCATAGTTGAGTCAGTTTCATCCCGGGTGGCGGCTTCTTGCGTTTACTCATCAAGCTTCAGCTGAAACCAGCTTCACAATGCTTCACATGGCGAAGGTGACGAGCAATGTACGTAGAGTCATGGTCAGGATGCTGAAACCTGTCCCACAAGCTCCAAAAAAATCAAAAGAGATAACGCTTTGCAAACACTTAGTTTCACCAATTGACATGGTTGAAATTCAACTTGAAATTGATTATATGCAAATTGAAGGCAAACCGCGAAGGACCTGGCTCACAACCTCAAAGCTGAGGGACCAGCCCCTCCCAAAACGACTAATTAGCATCGTACCCATCGTACCCATTAGGTCCAGGTCGGTTTGCGGGTGGACACATTTCCCCAAAAACCCTTCCCACAACCCATCGACATCGGAAAAAAACCAACGCCAAAAACGGATCATCCCTCAAGTCTCGCACAATCTCCCCGACCTGTCTCGCCCCGAACCCGCGAGACACCCCCGCCACGACCAGCCATTTAGGTGTCCCCAGCTGTAGGGAGTTCAGATGCCATCCGTGAAGTCCGGGTAGATCCTTCACCTCCACGCCATGCTTCGCCGCGACCTCTCCGAGCATCGGCCGCTACGGGGGCGGCCGATGCGGGACTTCGGAGGGGGTCTGAAGAGCAGGAAAGAGGGTGGTATGATGTGTGTGGTATCACTTGGATCTATCATATCTATCCTATTACCTGGTTTCAGTGGATGATGGTTCGGTTCGTAAAGGCCTTGTTTCAGTGGATGATGATGAGAATGGTTTACGGGTACAGGTCTACAGGTCAGTTCGGATAGACCCAAAGGTATCACCGTTCTCGGAAAGCCATCTTCTATTCTTTGAAGGTACACTCTGACTCACTAACATGGAAGTGGAAAATGGCCTCTTGGAAGACTACTTTCCTCTACAAACAGTGGGTTCTCCACTTCCATGTTAGTGAGTCGGAGTGTACATGTTGGTAGATGTCGGTATATGTAAGGATGTTTTTCGTGGGACAGTAGATCACAGTAGATCTATGTGCTGATTTGGACGACTATGGTATTTGGTATTCCTCTTCCAAGTGACCTTTTCATCAGGTTTCAGGTCACTTAGACCTGTACAAGATCACTTTTGAAGAAGCTGGTCATGTAGTGTATATGTAGTCAGTGTTGTGGAAACATACGGATACTACAAGGACACGAAGGTAGATGAATTGGCAAATCATGGAGGTTAGATCAACACTTCTACCACATGCATCTTGCGAACATGTGTGTCCAACATGATCCGGAGCCCACGCATCGCCGGAGAACAAACATGGGAAAGCGAAACCAATCAAGCAAACAACCAATCAACCAACCAAGCAGATCAATCAATCAATCAATCCATCCATCAATCAATCCATCCATCCATCAATCAATCCATCCATCCATCAATCAATCCATCCATCAATCCATCCATCCAATCAATCCATCCATCAA